GCGAGGTATTTCGCTTTCAACTTACGTCTTAGCCCTTTAAGCCTATATTTATTGAGAGCCATGGAGAATTCGCTATAGAAGAATTTGTTTATAATTTTGAAAATTGGTATTGATATTCTGTAATTCTTTTCGATTCCCATTTTTTAAAAAATCCGGGTTGGGGCAGACGCCCGGTTTGCCTGTCCTCCAAGGTGACGGCCATGCCTAAAGAGTACCGTTTTTGTGGGATATGACGCCGTTTAGTCTGGTTCACAGATTGTAACGTTTCGGAGAAACCAGCTGCCTCCACTTTCAGGGTGTAAGAGGCAAGAGGTTTCTCCGAAACGCTGATAACAACCTACCAGACCGCATGGCGCCATATTCCAGAAGACAGCAACCTGCGAACAAGTGGTAGGGTCAATGGACGTTCAAAATGGCAAGCGGTGACGGAACTGGTCACGTGATTCCCCTCCTCAGTGGACAGAATGCGACGTCTTCTGCACAGATCAAACTGGCGGGAAATTGGTGGCAGATGACGGGATGTGTCGCGCTTCAAAACCGCAGGCCTGTTCCCTGTTACAGTGGCATAACGAGCAGGAATTATACCAAGATTCCAATATGAACAGGCCACTCTGAAGCTCTAGACGTACACATTGGTTTTCCTGCACTTACTTACGCACCATGCTATGAGGGCGTATGGGTGAGTGGTGGTGGAACTCCACCATTCTTAACCTTAGTACTATATTGAGGTGAGTGGACAGCTTCAAATCCCCACCCCCATACCCACTGGATGGGCCCCAGAGCCGGTCTGGACGTTCTGTAGAAGAAAGAAATTTCCTGCCCCTGCCAGGAAGAGAACCCCGGAAGTCTAGCCCGTAGCCCACTGCTATACTGACTGAGATATCCAAGCTCCAGACGCACACAGAGGAGAATAATATTAAAACGGGTCACACAGAAATTGAGTTTGAGTGCGTGCTACATTGGTTTGGCTCAGAACGGAGACCAGCGGCGAACCCTGGCGCACGGGAACGGAAACGAAAGGATCTGGAGCCATAAAATGCGGGTGGGGGGGGGGTCTTGACCACATTCGCACCTGTTGACTTCTCAAGATATTCTCTGCTCTGTTGCGTTCCCTAGTCAAGATATGAAAACGAAATCTGCTGGGCATCGAACTCGGACTCTGAAGAGAATATATTAATTCCATGGAGGAGAGAGGACTTTCGATAAGCTGATAATCGCTCAGCTCGTCTAGACGATTTTCGCCTTTTGTGGAACGGCAAAGGCTCACTGCTATGTCCAACTGGTCAAGCAAATGCCTCCACAATAACATTACTGCATACCGAAGTATCCTGGCTCGTTTCCAGATACGGGTAAACAGTTACCATGCACAGGGGGTTACGAAACGCCGTGTAGTGCGCTGAAAGTCTACCGACGTTTCGGAGGAACATTCGCGTACATCTTCAGGGTCGGAGAACAAGCCAGGCAAAGAACCAGCGTGAAAAACACTGTTCTGGTTTATTCCTCGACCCTGAAGATGCACACGACACACTCCTCCGAAACTTCGGTTGACTTTCAAAGGACTACACGCCGTTATATCACACAAGAGAGAAATTTTTCGTTATATTGTGTTTCATTATCCGTCTACACAGCATCCACGGGTGGTGTGTCACTTATAACCAACTAAGAGATATTATTTCTCTTAAAATCACGATGTGTTTCGATGAAACATTGGTCATCATCAGGTGAATATTTACAAGGGAACAGATCAATGCATGGGCCAGTGGAGTTTCATTTCTTTGACTGCAGGATGGACCCAAGTCCTTCTTCAGGAGCCAAAGTTCACTCGGCCACTCGAGAATGTCCCAACATTTGACACGACCTCAAGGTTCACTGCCCATCGTGTTATGGGCGGTCCTGGAGGGAGTTCCATTACACAACATTCAGTGTTCATCAGAATTCTGGGGGTTGTTGTACACTAGACGCTCACTAATCAGGATCGAAAAATGAAAAATGCTGATAACAGCTGAGTACATACTTAAAAAGACACTTGGCATTTAGGAAGGCAGATATGTCACTTGTCTGTTGAAACACAACTTGACAAGCAGATTCTAAAGGGTTCTGATGATGGTGGATGACACACAGAATTACGGGGTTTGGGGGCCTTTTTCATCGTCCGGAATTCTAGCTCTGAGGCCCAACTGAGCAGGTGTCTTCCTTTCTCATCTGAAGACGGAAACAGATCCAGTTTCCGAAACGTCGTGTCCTCTGTTACCTAGAATTCCGGACGATGGAAAAAGTCCAGAAACCCTGTAATTCTGTGTGACGACAGTCTCTTCAGACCTGCATGATTACGTTCAGAAACAAGTGCAACTTCAGGGTCTTCTACCCATGAATAAATTCATCGACTTTCTATAGTTTTTAAATAAAGGCTCTACAGTGATATATATTTTTATTTATTTTGATCAGCACTGCTTGTCTCATTAGATTTTCCCTTTTATTCCCCTTTTAGGGATACCTTTCGCTTCATGACCTCACCCCCCTCGGTTAACCCGGCTTATTGAGGGTTTACCGTAATACAGTCTTTGTGTGTGGAACCTGACGGCGCGGCGGCGCGGCGGTGCGGCGCGGCGGCGCGGCCAGATTAGCTTCGGAAGGTTCTCTCTGAAGCATTCACATGCGCTGCTGGTAATTACGCCGAGTTATGTATGTATGTATG